ATATACAACTTAATGAATGATCACAGAACAAACACTAGAGTCATCGACACCCAGGTGAGTAAACAGAACGAATCAGCATTCTGGAAGCTCTCCCAGTACTGAGCACACGCTCACTACTACATGCGCTACAATCCACCAAAAGTTCAATCACCTAAGCACGAATCCCTAGACATTTTGTTTGGCCTGTTTTCTGAAATTCATATAAATGGAATCATACAGTATGGATTCCTTCCTCTGGGTTTTTGCACTTAACACTATTACACCAGATTCACCCACAATGTTACATGTGCCTTCAGTGTGATTTATTCTGATTCTGGAAAGTATTCAACTTCCTACACCACAACTGATTTACCCATTCTATAGTTATTGGGCATTTGGATTGCTCCTAATTTGGAGCTACTGGATATAATGCTACTATGAACATTCTTATTTATGTATGTCTCCTGGTGCATAGGAACATGCATTTCTACCTGGGAGTAGAATCTGAGTATTCACTGTATCTTCATTTGTTAACCCAACTGTTTTCCAAATTTAATCTAACACCAGCAGTGCACATGAGTCCCTGGTTGCCCTATATTCTCGCCAACACACGTCAGTCTTTCTCATTGTTGGCCTTTTGGTGAGTAGGTAATAATATCTTCGCATGGTTTTCATTTTCCTTCTTCTAGTTAGTTGTGAGGTTGAGCATACCTAACATGTTTACCAACCATTTGGCTATATTAATTTTTTTGTGCTTAAGTTTTCAGCCAATAAATGGCAGAGACCTTCCTAGGCACCAGAATTAAATTTACAGGCTGAACTCAACTACAAAACCTTTCCTTGGGAATATCAACTTGTTAGTGAGAAACAGGGAAAGGAAGGCTGGTCCAGTCCCTCAGGAGATTTTTCTTTTATAGATCAAATTACTATTCTGATGATTCTCTATTAAGTAGGACCAACTTCAACAAAAATTACCAGAACGAAGTATAACACCATAAAACAGAGCACAGGACAACTCGCAATCTGAGAGTCAAGACTAAAGATCTCTGGTAATACTACCTGGGCCACTATTGTGTCCTCCCTTACTTGGCTGCTGGCAAGAAGATTAGATTCAATGATGCTTGTAAAGCACTTAGACACTTGCCTGATGATTATTTACCTCTGATTACTTCTGACAATACAGACAAGAGGAATGGCAGAGAGAGTAAAAAATTCTAAGTAACTTTTTAAGCAACAACCTTCAACCTTATAGACATGCAGTTACCTCGGTATACAGCTGCTTGTACACCAAGATCCTCAGTCACACACACTATCAGGGCTTGGATTTAAGTAACTTAACACATCCCTCGTTTCTTTACCAATCCTGATTCTCTACAATACCTTTTTCTTCCAACCTGTGACTTCCTCGTATTACTAAGTATTTTTCCCTACACACACATCTCCATACATGTGGAGCAGCTCTTACCTGTGAGACCAGAATCTATAGAAGGTGGCCATGTACATCACAATAACCAGAGAGTTCTACTCAGTCAGCTGTCCCGGGCTCTGACTGGCTGTCCCGTCAGTCAGTGAAATGTCACTGTAGAATCTCGACCTGGAGTCCTGCAGTGGGTGGGACTGACTTCCCTACCACGTAGAAGCCTTCTCCTGAGAGAATCTTTAATATCTTTAGGGAACTCTACTTCATCGCTGATTTAGATTTATTTTAACTGAAATACCTATCACTTTGGTTATTTGGGTTCAACTTGTTTGCTATGAGGTAAGTGTCTGATTGTCAAGATGTCTGTAAAATTTTAAAACTGCACAAATTTGCCAAAGAAGGGGAATTTGGCATAATACACTTTAGGAAATCAAGTGGAAAGAAAGTTTATACTAATTTGGCTGTAAGCTTACAGATCTAAGTTATTGGCATTTTTTATAAGAACACAGATTTAGACAAATAGTATCTCACTCTTCTTTATCCAGAAACTACTGTTCAACATATCTCCCCTCTAAAAAAAAGCATTCAGTTTAGATACAAGTTTGAAAAGAGGGGTGAGGTGTGCAGGATAAAGATTCCATAAAAGCAAAGTGGGAGAATACTAGGGCCCAACAACAGGAGTCTTACCCTCATTTGAAAGAGCACGCCTCGCTTCCCTGACCCTTCCTCTTTCTGGGGACTGGCCATCTACCTACCACTTGGGGATTGTGTGCTGATGGCCACCCACGCTGGGAACAAAAAATAATTACACACTGGTGTGTGGAACTAGGGTAAGCCCCCTGTACACTTGCTGTGGTAAAGAGCAGTATGCTAATAATGAGAAATACAAGTTTATCTGTGGCACAAATGTCTAATATAAGAACATGTTTTATAATGGGGATTTAGTGTGTAAATCTATTAAGCACATAGTTTGTAATAATTATAAAACTGGTTTAACTAAATTATATTCACTCAAAAACTGGGCTCAAGTACTAAATAAAAATTCACTTAGGGCTTTTAACATCTAAACAAGAATTCAAAAATGGAGCTAAAACAGATCTATTTCATAAAGTGAAGAGAACTCTGTAGCCCCTGGGAATATGCAAAATCCCTCTTTCATTGCAAAGTGAAAAATTTCTCTTACATTCATATTCCAAACTAAGTGAGGAAATTAAAGCTGCATGAAAGGTCTCTGAATGAAAAGTAAGTTCTTTATTTGAATAAAAAATTCATTAGGTTCAAGTCTTAAGGAAGCAAGCTAGACACTACAAAAATTCAATTCTTGATCCATTGTTTACTTGCTGCCAAATGGTTTGGAGGAATTTGTTTCACTCTAATTCTTTTGCAACATAAAATTACTGTGATGAGCCAGGAACGCAGCGGCTGATGTTAAGCACTGCAGGAGTCATGGAGAGAAGGCAAGGAGGGTCCCTGCCCCTGCCCCTGTCTCCACATTGGCCTTATGACTGGCAGGTTCCCATCACAGAAGATGTTCAGTGTCCCTAAGGCTGACGCTGGCCTCAGTAGTCCATCTGTGACTCCCTCAACCCTCCAGGTCTTCACCTACCTTTTCAGTCATACATCTTGCCAGTACTTAATAAATGCCTGTTATACATGTGCATATACAACACATGCAAACCCTTGAATACCTCAATTTAGTGGAGGATAAAAGACAAGTATCACAATAATAACACAATCACATGCCACTGCAGGGGTCAGTACCAAGTGCAAAGGAACCTTCCAGAGTGAACAGCCAACCCAGCCTCAAAGGCCAGAGAAAGGTTCCCGGAGAAGGCAGCATTTCAACTAAAACTTTAAGGATAAACAGTGGCTGGTCAAGCCAAGCAATGGGAGCACAGTGGGAAGAATAATGTTACATGCTGGCGAACAGTGAAGGGCCTGGAGGAGCAAAAGCAGATGGCCACACAAGGCCACAGCGCAGAGGAAGTGGGCAACGTGCGAGCTGATCCACCCTCAAGGTGTGCCTGCGGGGATTTCCTAACCAGCCCCTTGCTGCCTCTCTCTGAGATGAGCAATCAGAAAAAAGAATTTCCCTGTGTACCATAAAAGACTCGAATCTTAATGAGGTATATGTCATTGTTGTATCTGCTCATTTAGCAGCATAGGAACCCTTAATATTTACTTTTTAAAAGTTTGTCACAGGCTATATGAAATTAAGACAATGACAAAATTAGATCTGCAGATAACAGGTTCCTATCTCCAGCTGAAATATACCAAACTCCTAGACCATATAGGAAACATAACTCCATGTATAAAAAACTGATTAATGTAATTCAGCAATGAATAAAGCATGTCTAGTGAATAAATCAATATAAGCACCTCATAATGAGAAGTTATTGTAGCAGCTGGGGCAGAAATGGGAGGACAATGAACTGGGCACCTCAAGAAGCTGGGCCTGCTTGTCTCTGAGCTTTTCAGCAGGTCACTGGCCCCCTCTGGGCCTGGAATCCTCATCTACACAAGAAATAGTTGCTTTGATTGCCAATGCTTCCAAAACCCATTATGATGACAGGTTATCACATCAAAAATACTTAATCACCACAGGCAAGATTTTAAACATCTTCTGTAAGTCACAGACTTACTATAATTTTAACTGAGGAAACAAAAAAAGAGCAGGGGCCCACAAACTATCTTAAATTCTAAAAACAGTTAAGTTGGTGTATCTTTTAAAAGTTGGCAGATCATGCATAACCAAATGTAAAGATAATTAAAATTTTAGGACAAGCAAATGAGATGATTTTTTAAAAAGAGAAAGTAAAAAATTGAATACAACTAGGCAGGCAGTGATTAGGGTTACTCACTTCCCTTTCCATTGGTTTCATTTCCCTTCTTAGGTTAAAGTGCTCCTCATATGTAAACTATTCATTCCACTGAAGACTTCTAGAATCCTTTCTGAGTGATTTGCAGTGATGTTTAGGCAAAAGGAATTCTTTCAAGACTTCCATGTGACCAAAAAGGAATAGAAGCACTGGGGACTTAAAAATAAAGCAAACCAGGATGGGTAAACATACATGCAATGCGGAAGCAAGTGAGTGAGGACCCCAATTTTAACCATTTAGAAATGTTTTAATAATAAAAAGGGGGCATTTTTAATTTTAGGAACTTTGGTAGTAAAGGGTTAACTCTGTTTGGGAGTACCTACTAAGTGCCAGGTACTATGTTAAGCACTTGGGACTTTTTGGTTTAGAGTCCTCACAGTCCTATCAGATGGGTGTTCTCTCTATTTTAACTTTATAGAAACCAAGTAGGAACAAAGGCTCAGAATGGTTAAGTAACTAGACAAAATCACAGCTTAGAAAGTGAAGAAACTGTACAATGAATTCCATTCTAGTTAATTATCAAATCTCATTCTCTTTCAATATATAATGTAGACTTTAAGCATCAAAATAAACAAATTGAAGACATTTCTCCCTCTTCGATTCTCTTAAGTATATCCTATTACTGTAAGGGGCGCTTATGCAAAGCGTGACTTCATAAACAAATCATTTGTGAAAGAGAAAAACCACATCCAGGGTAAAGTCATAAGTTGAAAAAGGCTTATTTCAGAGAGTACTTCCTGAAGGGGACAAACCAGCAATTACAGCCAAACAAGTACCTACTCCTGCATCAAGTTCTATTTTTGAAGCAACTTTTTAAAGCAACAGAAGAGCCTGAAACAAAAGAAATATAGCATTTCCTAAATATACCATTTCTTGAAGGAGCTATTTTAACACAAGCAACTCAAAGATAACTCTTTGTACCAAAAAAAGTTTCTAAAACAGCCTTTTGATGGACACGAGGTAAGTTGCATTTGACTAACTTCATCAGACTATTGAAGTAAATGCTGTACTTACTCAATTTCAAAATCATTGTTTTTGTTTTAGTAATACATTACTGAAACTATTTTGAAGGACCTTGAGATGGATATGCTGTCATCTTCTTGCACTACTATGATTTTTAATTTATTTTTGTTTTTATACATTAATAGCAAATGTAATTTTTTTCAACTTAAGGAAAATGTCGACATGATAAATCATAAGTATATTTAGGAATCTTTGTCACTTGGTTTCAATTACGCTGTTTCACAAAATGTAGTTAAAGGCTTTAAAAAAAAGAAAGACAACAGATTATTGCTGACTGAAATGCTTTTAAAACACTTGAGAAGAAAGCAAAGGGGATTAAGATACAAATTTCATTATCATAAAATAAGTGACTCACAGTAATAAAAAGTACAACATAGGGAATATAGTCAATAATATTGTAATTACTTTGTATGGTGATAGATGGTTAACTATACTTGTCATGATTAGTATGTCATTTCCTAACATATGTAATTGTCAAATTACTGTAATACACTTGAAAGCAATCAATGTTATATGTCAACTATACTTCAATTAAAAATATAATTAATAAGTACAACACTGATTTGAAACTAATCAGTTTTTAATATTTATCCAGATTTATTTGTGTGTGCAGAGCACAATGTGTACTAGAAATGCCTTTAAAACACATGCATCACACACGTTTTTCCACCTTAAGCAAATGAATACAAGCAAATGAATACCTTGGTGACCTAAAGGTAGCTTAAGCCCAATGAGGGAAAAAGACTTGCTCAAAAATGGTATGTACGTATGGAATCAACTGTGACAAAATTTGGGGATGAGGATGGGTGGAGGGAGTCCTGATGCAATATTAAAAGAGATAAAAGGTTATAAAAATTTCACTTACATCACAATTATGACTATTTAAAAAGTCACTGAAAGTTCAAAATAAGCCAGGCCTTCAAAATTGCTCCACTTTGTATATATGATACAGGAGACTTAATTTTTTTACATATCACTTTTCTCATATGATAGAAATTAATATTCTAGTTACTCTTAACATTTGGAAATTTTAACTAATACAGACTTTAAAATATATAGAATTCTATTCCACAATCATATTTAACCTAAATATTTGGCAAACCAGCTGTAGTCAAAAAGAAAGGAAAAAAGAGGGAGGAAAAACAAACTCTTATTTTGCGTCTGTAAATTAATTTTAAATTATTAACAGCCAATGATGCCACTGACCAAAGTGCTCATCTCGCCCACAGTTTTCACAAAAGAGACGCTCGGGGCTGAATCAGAGACAGCCCATTCTGCAAAGCAACATTTTTGAAGGAAGCTTTTCTTACACCTCCATTTCTCGAGGGGAGCCACAAGATTCCATCCCTCTGTAGACTGCCTGTTTTTAAAGTCATTGTTGGGGTAGCATCTCAGGCAGTGGAAGTTTCACACTGAGGGGTCAGTGATATTTACCATCACAACTGAACTTCTTTCCATTAGAAATGGACTCTTTTTTTTTGGTGACGGGAACTACTTTCAGCACAAACATTTATTGAGTGACTTCTTATGAGCGACTACTTGTCTTTGATATTCCTTTCAAAAATTTAATTTGACAAGTCATACATGACCTGTATCTAAGTAGAGCGAGGGCATGAAAGTCACTATGTTAGGACATCTTATTCTCAAGGTGTTGCCTTTTATACACCATCACAGCAGTGAATCTGCTTCTCGGACACTGGTAAACACCATCTGGAAAACCCACCACTAGGCACTCCCAACAGTGCAGTAAAACGGGCTGATCTCTTTGTCAAGTTCTTGATCTGTAGATCATAGCACTGCTGTTTCTAGACCTATGATTATTTAGAGAGAAAAGAATACTATGAACAAGTGTTTGCCACTTAAAAAAACAACAGGCTTAATGGCCAACCAAGCAAGTCTTTGCTGACAAACTAGAGAGAAGTTCCTGTGGGTCACCTCGCCAATGGTTCCTTTCTTCATTCATCCATCAATTCAGCAAATATTTACTTACTGAGTACCCGCTGTGTACTCAATAGGCAGTGGAGATATAGCAATGGAATGGAAAAATTCTTGCTCTCAAGTGAGCATTTCTGTCAATATTCAGTAATTAACCAATTATATGTTTCCTTTATTAGTTATCAAATACATATTTTATTTTTTAAAATTGTATTTAATGAATAAAAATTCATTTAGATATTTCTAATCTGGATTATAAAATACTTAAACAGAATGAATATGATAAAAAGTAGCAAGCTATTTTGTAAGATTCAAATCAGAGTGGTCTTTCCCCAATTAGTCCCAAAGAATGCTTATTATAATAGGAACAATTGCTACCCAATTTCATACTCTAGAAAAAAAATCACAAAGAAAAGGTTATTCTTTGCAAGAGAAGGAAAGTAGGCAAGGAGAAAATGAATAAATCTGCCAGTGCATTATGACATTTTAACAAGGTACTACTTATCAGTAATTATACATAGGGGATGTATTTCTTAATAAATACACGACACATACATTGATTCTATAACATTAAATGCTCTCAGAATTAAAATCCACTGGCATGCCAAGTGTGGGAATGATAAGCATTTATCTTTCAACAAAGGGTCTAATTCCTCTTATTCTTAACTATTTTACAGTTTCTAAGTATCATGCTCACCACCGAGCTGTAAGATGACCACCCTACACAATCAAGCTCAACCTGGCCCTTCTAACAACTCACATCCAGATGAATATAAAATCGCAGCCCTTGTCTTTTACAGCTGTATCTTCGTAATTGGATTATTTGTTAATGTCACTGCCTTATGGGTGTTCAGCTGTACCACTAAAAAGAGAACCACTGTAACCATCTATATGATGAATGTGGCATTACTGGACTTAATATTTATAATGAGCTTACCCTTTCGAATGTTTTATTATGCAAAAGGTGAATGGCCATTTGGTGAGTACTTCTGCCAGATTCTTGGGGCTCTCACGGTGTTTTATCCAAGTATTGCTCTATGGCTTCTTGCTTTTATTAGTGCCGACAGATACATGGCCATTGTACAGCCGAAATACGCCAGAGAACTTAAAAACACATGCAAAGCCGTACTAGCTTGCGTGGGAGTCTGGATAATGACCCTGACAACCACCATCCCACTCCTACTGCTCCACGAGGACCCAGATAAAGCCTCCGCCCCCGCTACCTGCCTGAAGATTTCTGACATCATCCACCTAAAAGCTATGAACATGCTGAACTTCACTCGACTGATATTTTTTTTCTTGATTCCTCTGTTCATCATGATTGGGTGCTACTTGGTCATTATTCACAGTCTCCTGCATGGCAGGACATCTAAGCTGAAACCAAAAGTCAAGGAGAAGTCGATAAGGATCATCATCACGCTCGTGGTACAGGTGATCATCTGCTTTATGCCTTTCCACATCTGCTTTGCCTTCCTGATGCTAGAAGGGGATGATAACAGCTATAATCCCTGGGGAGCCTTTACCACCTTCCTCATGAACCTCAGCACCTGTTTGGATGTGATTCTCTACTACATTGTTTCAAAACAATTCCAGGCTCGAGTCATTAGTGTCATGCTCTACCGAAACTACCTTCGGAGCATGCGCAGAAAAAGCTTCCGTTCAGGAAGTTTAAGGTCACTAAGCAACATAAACAGTGAAATGTTATGAATGATAAGTTTTTTGTCTTCATTCTCTTTAAATTCACTTTACTAGCTACCCTAGGGCCAGTGGGCATTCTGTATGAAACCATCAAGTCTCTTATCTCCTGAAAAAAAAAAAAAAACAATAAACTTTAAAAATTCTTCTGTGGGATCTTATTATTGTGGCAACATAGTCAAATATTTTGAAGTATTCCAATAAATTCACAATTTTTATTTTTAAAACTTGAATGAAACATTTCATGAGTTACCGGGTGAAAAATAGTCAATTTGTGTGTCATATTCAAGTCAGTAGGCAAAAAAATCCCAGCTTCTGGTCAAAATAATTTGATTATGTTATTAAAGTATAATTTGAGTAAACCAAAGCTCAATTTGCTTTAATTTACACTCAGGATTGGTGGTGTAAGTCCAATACTTTATGTTGTAAACACCAAACTTTCTGGATTCCTCCACAAACAACTATGTAGGACTTGTTGCTTGTCACTTGCCACGCAGCACAATCAGCAGGAGCCAGCGCCTGCCAGTAAAGGCCATCACCATCAGCCCTCAACTACTCTGAATTCCTTTCTTTTGGTAACAGACTACGGTCAGTCAATAAACACTGAGCGCCTACTATGCACCCGACTTTACTTAAGATCATTGGGGAAAACCCAAGTTAAGATCCTATTTCTGCCCAATAATCCAAGTTCATTCCTATGACATGAGGTTTCTACTATATGGTGAAGTTTTCTTTCTCCAATATAAATAGTTTGCTCTTCTTATGTGATTAAACATCACATTACAAAAGAGAATGATTTTTTTCCGGGATAAATGTCACAGTATAAATAGCACTAGTAGGGGCCTTGGATTCTTATCCTAGCCTTGCCATTTAAGTTCCCCTAGTAAAGTAACAAACCAAGTAACTTCTCCACTTTAAAAATAAAAGAATGTGAACTATAATCTACAAAGCCGATATATTCTAAATATGATGGAAGTATACAAATGAGTTGACCGTAATTTCCTCTGTGCTAAATCACCTTTACTCTTAACATGATCACCTCCTAAGAATCAAATAAATGCATTAGTTATAAATGGATTTCTATAATTAACATAGGTAAATTCATATTCTTAAAAAAAAAGAAAAAAGAAACACAAAAGAGCCTAATCATAAAGCAGCATTTTAGCACTGAAAGATCCCTTAGATAATCTCCTAGTCTAACTCTATTTTAAATATAAAGAAATTGAGGTCCAAAGAGGTTCTGTGACTTGCTCAGTTAAAGAACCAAGACTAAAAACCAAGTCTAGTTCTCCTCCTGTGTCACTCACCAATTTTTCAATACTAAAAAGCAAACAAGCTTACAGAATGTAAATATCCTCACAGCTACACAGGATAAAGGAGTCACAGTGGTCCTGAAACGTAGTTTCTCAACAAAGCGAAAACTACTTAGATTTAGTTTGAATAGTCGAGTGGGGAAGATGCTTTAATAAATATCTTTAAGTGAATAACTATTTCTAAAACAAGGGAAATGGCCCCTGTATTCATACACAGGCTTACGGTATGTACATACAGTCATAGCCTACTCTCAATTGTACAGATTAATCTGTTCTTACGTAATTTATTAAATGGCAAGTTCTCTGCAATGGCTTTTTTTCATGAGAGACATGTTATTTGGGGGCATAAAGACTTTGTTGACACATGTTGAAAATGTATGTTATGGTTCTCACAAAAAGACTATAGATAATCTAAAACAGTTAAACTAAAAATAATTTTATTCAGTGTTATGATCAGATACAAAATATGGTATATATTCCAAAATTCCACTTACTCTGGAGGCATTTTGATTCTGGGAAAAAAATATAAAAGCCACATGTAAATATTAACAATTAATATTTGGACAGGTATGTGATAGACATGGATTTCCAGAAACACCTAATATATAATAACTTTTAATAATGGAGCTATCTTAGGCAAACATCTCCTGAATATAAGCATGAGCAACTTCTTCCTGAATGCATCTCCTCAAGCAAGGGAAACAAAAGCAAAAATGAACACATGGGACTACATCAAACTAAAAAGCTTCTGTACAGCAAAGGACACCATGAACAGAACAAAAAGGCAACCTACAATATGGGAGAATATTCATAAATGACATATCCAACAAGGGGTTAGCATTCAAAATATATAAAGAACTTACACACCTCAATACCCAAAAAGCAAATAACCCGATTAAAAAATGGGCAGAGGATATGAAGAGACAGTTCTCCAAAGAAGAAATTCAGATGGCCAACAGACACATGAAAAGATGCTCCACATCACTAATCATTAGGGAAATGCAAATTAAAACCACAGTGAGATATCACCTCACATCAGTTAGGATGGCCAGCATCAAAAAGACTAAGAACAACACGTGCTGGTGAGGATGCGGAGAAAGGGGAACCCTCCTACACTGCTGGTGGGAATGTAAGCTAGTTCAACCATTGTGGAAAGCAATATGGAGGTTCCTCAAAAAACTTAAAATAGAAATACCATTTGACCCGGGAATCCCATTCCTTGGAATTTACCCAAAGAATACAACTTCTCAGATTCAAAAAGACATATGCACCCCTATGTTTATTGCAGCACTTTTTACAATAGCCAAGATATGGAAGCAACCTAAGTGTCCATCAGTAGATGAATGGATAAAGAAGATGTGGTACATATACACAATGGAATACTATTCGGCCATAGGAAAGGAACAAATCCTACCATTTGCAACAACATGGATGGAGCTGGAGGACATTATGCTCAGTGATATAAGCCAGGCAGAGAAAGACAAATGACAAATGATTTCCCTCATTTGTGGAGTGTAACAATGAAGCAAAACTGAAGGAACAAAATAGCAGCAGACTCAGAGAGAATGAACTAGTGGTTACCAAAGGGGAGGGGTGTAGGAGGGTGGGTGGGGAGGGAGGGAGAAGGGGACTGAGGGGTATTATGTTTAGTACACATGGTGTGGGGGATCATGGAGGGAACAGTGTTGCACAGAGAAGGCACATAGTGGATCTGTGGCATCTTACTACACTGATGGACAGTGACTGCATTGGGGTGTGGGTGGGGACTTGATAATATGGGTAAATGTAGTAATCACATTGTTTCTTCATGTGAAACCTTCATAAGAGTGTATATCAATCATACCTTATAAAAAAAAGAGAGCATAAAAACAATAATAATGGAGCTATCTTTACTTTGAAAACCTAATGACTATAATTTCTGAATTTCAAATAACAGTCATGAGAATCTATCAGATGCCAGGTATAATTTCTATGCAAAGCACTAGAGAAAGAGCTGAACAGGTTTATGGTTCAAAGATCTTACCTTACAGTCTTATGGGGCTACACTGTAATCAAGGCTATCCCTTCAACATCACTGAGCGTAAGGCAATGAGTACATAAGTAAAACTAGTTTTCCCTCAAACATCTAGTAGGGTGGACCAGAAGGCCCACATAGTGACTATGATAATGACCATGCAATGTAATAAATGCTGATACAGATCTTAAAAAATCTGTTGGAATACACATAAAGGGCAATTAATCTTGCCAAAGGTGACAGGGTACAGAAAGAAAACCACATAGGTATAAGAACACAAATACACAGCATGTCAAGAAAGCAGAATGACTGATGCAGGAGTGGCTTAAAACACTGGACTGGGGTCAGATTATGAAGGTTTTGAAGGGAAGAAAGGAAACCAATATGTTTCCGGGGGTGGGGGGTGCTACTGGTTATAATTCTCTCCACTGCCCTGTGAAGCATAGAGCATGACCCTCAATTTACATATGAGGGTCATCTATAAACTGAGCCCAGGAAATGGAAATTGAGAGAAGTAACTTGCTCAAGATTACACACACATAGTATATGGCAGAGATGGCATGTCAAATCTGGTCTATCTGATGCAAAGCTTATGTCATTCCCACAATTCCAGACTGCCTCAATGCTATCCTGGACGGGTTTGATTTTTCTTCTGACAGGAACAAGGATATAAAGGTTTTTAAAAGTAAGATTGGCATAGTCAAAGTAGTATTTTAGAAAGATAACTTCTGACAACATTGCACGGGATGCTCTAAAATTGACAGGAAAACTAGTTAGAGAATTACTGCAAACATCTAGGCAAGAAAATATTAGAGTTCAGACTGGCATAATCACAGGAGTAGAGAAGATGGAATATGTGAATGATTTACATAGGACTTGGAGTAAATAGGACTCAAGGCCTTACTCCAATGATGAGAAAAGAGAAAGATTTCCAGCTTGGATGACTGAGTAGATGGAAATGACATTAACTAAAATAAGGAATAAAAGGTGGAGGAGATGACCGTATAGAAAGAGAGGAGATCATAAGTGATGAGAGCTTCTAAACATGATTAATTTTTTTGAGTCTTAGAAGTCATTAGGAAGTATGATTCCAGAAAAATCTGGAAAGTAGTATGGGCTAGAATAGAGTAGGGAAACAAACAGCATGTTAACTGTAGTTGAAGTCATGGAGAGGACCAGAAAGCCCAGAGGAAGAGTAAGCCAGAGGAAGGAGCTGCAGACAGTAGGCGAGGTCAAAAAGGACCAGGAGAGAGAGCTGTGCTGGGGCTCAAGGAAGCAGGCTATTTCATGAGATAATGGGAGGTCAGAAGCATTTAATGTGCTACTGAAAGGTCAAATAAGACAACTAAAAATAAGCTGCTAGCTTTAGAGATTAGTTGGTTACTGGTGACCTTTTTAAGAGAAGTTTTAAAAGTGGTGAGGTTAAAAAAAAAAAACAGAAGAACTAGAGAGAGAGCAGATAAATCTGGCATTGATGGGAAAGAAAAAGGTAACAAGATGTTATGTGAAAAACTGCGAATTAAAAAGCATTTTGACTAAAAAAAGAGAGTAGGTCTCTCTCCTGAGTTTCTGAAGCTTTGCTACCATCAAAGATACACAAAAATGCAGTCCAAGAAGTCTGTGTTTGAGAAAGCTTCAACATTCTAAAAAGCCATACTACGTTTGGTGATTTCAAACACAAAGAGAAATATGTACTTACTCAGGTGATGTCTGAATTAACATTCATGATGTCTTTTAAAGGGGATCCTATAACTTGTGAATTTACTTAAGTTTGCAACTTTGGCTACAAATTAGATTTAAATAGGTAAATGTCTTCCTGCCTTAATAAATAAAAATATTTCCACCAACTTCAAAATTGAATCAATCCTCCTTATGTTTATCAGTTAATAGGATTTCATTATATAATGAAATAATGTTATTCATATAAAGAAATAACTGTCATTCAGCTCTACATGCAATAGAAAAAAACTCATCAGAAAAAGGGACAATGTAAATAAGAATTAAAAGCTATGTTACTCCCATCCCCAAAGTTTATTCTAACACACACATACCAACACACACACACACACACACACACACACACACACCCTTCCATAGCTTACAGAGAACAAAAAAGAACTGAATGAGAAATATTTGGGAAAAATTACTGATTTGGTATTGCTGCTTCTTTTCTGACTCAACACGGCATCATTTCTGATGACTAGACTATTTTCCACAATAGCAGAAGAGTCAACTTAAAGTTCTCAGTCTAATTACAATCACAACTGTGGAATTCAATAAAAGCCGCATGATAACTATGACACAGAACTTTATCTGTCTTCATTCAAACACTATTCAGAATTACACATTATTAAACAGCTAAAGGTCAGCAATCATGCCAACTAAAATTCAGTAAATCCCATAAAGGGCAGCTACAGTGTAAATACTAATAAGGTAGTATGAAAGCTATTAGATCACTGTATTTTTAAAATGGAGATCTAAAGTGAATTTGAATCAAGATATGTATAATAGCCTAATAGTTCTCAAAAACACATACTTAAAATTACAATAACAATGAAGATAGTACACACCAAGTTTTAAATACTGGGTACCTTTGTTTCATAGTATCTCATCTCTCAAATACATTCTCAGATACTTAATTCAGAGATGTTTAAGGTCATTTATATATGCTAACAATTCTGTTCCTAGATACTAGTTATTTCATAAACTAATACATTTTTGAAGATCAAAAAGATATTAAATCATATTTATATACACTCTGAGTTAGGTTGGCTATTGCAGCTTGGCTACAAAGTTGTAACTTGAGGGTTGACTTTTTTTTCTTTGGTGGAAGTATATACATTATCAATTTTTAAAAACATCATCCTTCTCAAGCTTAATTCTGTTATCCAGATGAATTAGTTTTGTTATCTAACCTAAATGTTGTATTTTCATGTTTGATTAATTCACAAAATTATAAAGATAAAATTTCACTATAGAAACACAAAATTAATTCTACCTTCAGGACTAGAAGAGGAAATTCATCAAAAATTCTTTAAAATATGGGATTTTAAAGCTGAAAACAGGAGTGAGTGTAAAATAGATTCTGTTTCAAGAATACAATGAAAATGTAAGTACACATTGGATATTTCTACATATAGAATCAATTTTGTTGTTTCTCAAACTTTTAAAATATTCTTTTACTGACTTCTATGTACAGTCAGATACATGATTGGATACTTCAAATTAGATTTATGTAGTTATAAAGTAAGCTAATCTTTCAGAGCTACTTACAATCCAGAAGGCAAATTCCTGGCTGCAGTGATACCAAAGGAATGCTGTGCAGCTTCCACAAGGATGAAGTCAACCAAGGCTGACAGAACCCAGGAGCCCAGCAAAAAGGACTAAAAATGAAACAGGAGGATGTTATAGGGGAGTCTGCTAAAAATAAACTAACATCTATTTAATTAGAACTAACTGAGGCACATATTTTTTTTAAGTTTGTTTTTATTACGACAGACTTTTCAAAATGAGGGAATAAAAACCATGAGTCAAATGCATTAACTTCCATTATTTCTAATTATATTGTAGCATGATTTATTTTTAACCATTAAGCAAAATAAGTGATTAGAATTTTATTAAAGTCAAAGTCTAAAATTTTCATTACCCACTCACACCTGATATTATCTATTATCTTTACCATTATTATTTTATTATGCTAGTGGCTTAAATTTAAACTTTTCTTTGATTAATGTCTACGTTGGAAATCTGGTATCATATAATTAATTAAAAGATAATTGTTAATACTAACACCAAGGTTAACAAAATGAAGCTATTTAAAACTAATAAAATAAGAACAAAAATATTTTTTCCATTTAAGTAGCAAAGAGAAAATACATAAAAACTTACTGCAAATTTTCTGCTTCCATATCTTCTTTCAAATATCCTAAAATTATAAATAAGCAGACTACTGCAGAAAGTATCTTTCAAATCAAGGCAAATTATTCTTCCACATATCAACCTCCAAATCTAGATTGGGATTTAAATAAGAACAGTAAATAAAAGTGAGATTTGTTCAGGTCTCTTTCTTAGCAAATACATTAATGTTTATTTTATACTGCTTATTTTTATACTCAAATTTGAGCAAAATAATGATGTACACACAGAAGAAAAACTACGTATGAGTTTTCCCTAAGAAATGGGCTCAACTCTTTCAAACTAAAAATTTATTCCATATAAAATTATTTTTTATAATAAAATATATTCTCATTAAGACAACAGAAAACTTCCTGTAAAAAAATTTAAGACTGTATAGTAAGATTTTAAAAATTATATACATGAGCTGAAATGAAAGGCTAAAAGATGGTAATTTTTATGCTATTTAATAAAGTTGTAGCTGAAAAGCAACTGAGGGATAAACCCAAAACATACATTTCTGAGCTTAATTTTAATGATCAGCCTACTTCATAGCAACTATGTACAAGGCAATTTATGGTAACTGCTGCTACATATTACTAGTTTTGAATTTTAAGGTAATTTAACTTTTAGTTTATTTAAACTAAATCAACCTCTAGTTGGGTGAAAAACTTGCTAAGGGGATATAGAACGAAGAAAGAGCTGCTCAAAGGTCTATTTTGAGTCTTCTCAAATGTTTTTGCATTTTTAAAGATAATCCCAACAACATTCACAAAACCTCATCTAATTTTCCCTTCACAATTACCTTATAAGATATGTAAAACAAATATTAACCCTTTCTTTTTTTGCATTATTTTATTTTGGTAAAATATACACAAAGTAATATTTATCATTTTAACTATTTTTAAGTGTACAATTCAGTGGCATTAAGAATATTCACAATGTTGAATACCTATTACTACCATTTCCAGAATTTTTTTGTCATCCCAAACAGAAACTTTGCACCCATTAAACAACCCTACATTCTCCCCTTCCCTTAGCCCCTGGTAACCATGATTCTACTTTCTGTCTCTATGAATCTGACTATTCTGGGTATCTATATAAGTGGAACGAGCCATACAATCTTTGTCCTTTTGATTCTGACTTATTTCACTTAGTATCATGTATGTCCTCAAGGATCATGCTGAAGCATGTATTAGAACTTCATCCCTTTTAATAGCTAAATAATACTCCACTCTATATACTGCATTAAAAATCCATTCATCTGTTAGTGGACATTTGGGTTGTTTCCACGTTCTGGTTACTGTGAATAATGCTGCTACCAACATTGGTAATATTAACTCTATCTTAAGATAGGGAAAAAGAGGCACAGGGAAAGAATTTTACTTGTATAGAGTCATACAACCTGTGCTCTTGGCAACAAAGATAGTAATGAGAAAACAGACTATATACCCACTGTCACAACATGTCATATCTGTCTATATTCTAGGCAAGATACCAGGCTGTCTCAGTCATCAGTATAATCCAAAATACGAGGACTCTGGACAGGCTCAGGAATGGCCACTAGAGTTCATTTCACCTGCCAATCTTGCTAAAATGGGGATGGCCACCCACAAATCTATGTTAAGGTCATAGCTGAGATCAAGGAGAACTAGCACCAGGCAGTTAGCAATGACCATCATGGGCACACAGGTGGAACACAGGTGACATCTCCAAATCTCTTTTCTCCTGCAGAAATTCCATGACTGCACCAGAATCACATTGAAACTTTAGGCCAGCACATACTACCATCAACATGATCACGTGAGAAGGAATACATGAGAGCACTTTGTAAGCTGTCCAATACTTCACAAATATAAGATGATGAAGATGACTGTCATCTGCAGAAGAGCAGGTGCAGAAAACATGAAAGACAGTACCAAGTCTCCTATCCCCACATTTAAAAATCTAACAAAAGTATTTTACTCATGGCTGAGCCCTGAAAGTCACTAGGAAAATCTGGAAGATTAAGGAAATTAAGACTTTTCAATTACTAAAACTTAACAAATTGGGTGTATAAAGCTCCATTTTTTTTCCAGCTAATGACAAATAAAACTAGAAGCTACACTTCTATTTTTTTATGCCAAAAAAAATCTGTTGATAATTTTAATCACAATTAATGATTACCTGATTAATGGATTAACAATTTACTGAATAATTTAGATGGCATAGGTCCAATAAAGGGAAAAATCAAATAATTGTTCAGTGTGTAATTCTGCCCATTAGTAATACTAAGCCAAGAATTTGATAAATATTCTGCTCAGTTGGGTTACATGTTTCCATGTATGTAATCTGAGCAAAAATAAAAAAACAGGTACATGATATCAAGCCTTTTCCTTTTTCTTTTTTTTTTAATACAGAATAACTCAATGATTTTGGGGGGTTGATTAGTACAATACAGAGAACACTGGGAAGAAGCACAAAATAGCACTTAACACCCCCTGCCAGTACTCATGTCATAATGGTTATAACTAAGGATACTATTAATTTTTGTGTTATCTGCTTTTTGTTAGAATATAAATCAATGCCATTAACTTGAACTTGAGGTATATACACAACTTTATGCAAAATACTATGCATAAGTAACATTACATTTTAAAATACTGGAAACTGAGTATTTGTGATTTGTATTTTGACTTATGAAACAAAGGAGAACATTCAACTAGGGAGGGTTATACTGATAATAAAGCTCTTAAAGTGAAAACTGTCTTCTTCTCCCTTTGTGCTTAGCACAGTCTACACAAAGTCCTAAGAGGATTCATTATGAGAAGAATGTCAATCAGCTTTAAGACCTGCTTTAGAAGGTACTAATGAGAAAGTAAATTGGAAGGTGAGACTTTGTATTTGTTTTCAAATAAGTTGTCTTAATTTTTCTTCTTATAGAAAAAGTTTAAATCAGTTTATTATAAAAATATCTAAACCATAAATTTTTACATCTTTCAGGTAAAGTCCAGCACTTTGTTTATACAAAGTCTATGAGAAGACGTCAGCAGAAATCATCTAATCTTGAATGGTGACATCATCCATTCAAGTCCTTGGCATAATCCCTCACTGGTAAGAGCAGAGCATGCCTGCATATGCCACTGGTGACCTTTAATAAAAGTTTCAAAAACTGGGAGATTTCTCCTACAGTCACACCTTGCTTATTAGCAAGAATCAGCAATCTAGCTTTCCTTAGCTCTCAAGGGCTAACATTTTATAGTTCTTTGATTACAGAAATCCTTTCTGTGTACTGTCTACAATCACTATTACAAACTCTATGAGCACAGTAAGTGTTCTGGGAAGAACGAAGAGATTCTTGGCCTCCAACACCCCACGACAGGAAACGTTAACTATTCATTACTATCTCTTCTACATTACTTCCTATTGTAGGGGATGTATGTACAACTTCATTCATAGAAAATCAGTGAAGGATAGTAGTTTTCCCTGTGTTATCTAGCCCAACAATAACAACTTTGTGCTCCTGGTGATGGAACTGTCTCTGTATCCTGGTGGAGAATTCCCCTTCTTGGGCAGAGGAACCCTGTCCAGCCACCGGGGCCACCCAGCCTTCTGCAGCCCAGGCTGAAGGGGAGGAGAGAGAGGCTCCTGAGCCTAGGCCTTGCTGCTCCAGCATAACCCATCGGCCCACTTCCTAGGAACCCGGGGAGTGGGCGAGGCCAGGACCCGTCACTGCCTCTGCTGTGTCTGCAACAGGCCTCACGGTCACTGCCCTCCCCCAGCTCCTCTCTGGCAGCTGTGGTGGCAGCGACTGCACAGGCAGGGAAGGCCTAGAAGTTACACTTGTAAATAATTTGTTTTGTAACTGCTCTAGGACACCAAAGCTTGTAACTGGTATACAAATAAACCTCTAGGTATCACCAGGATGGTGACTGCTTTCTATGAGGACTAATGGCCGGCTTGCAATCAACAAAGCACTGCTTCCGCATTTCAACATGAAGAACACCAGAGGTAGGATTTCTGCCTTAACTGCCAAAATCAGGGAGATTCTCAACTTGCAGAATAAAGACCTTCATCAAATGCTCCTCCTGTCCTCATCCAACCTAACCTTGCATTAGTTTCCGACAAGGCCTCCTAGGCAGCACTCCTAAGGGCCTGAAGTTCATACTGCTTCATGGAGTAAATGCCTTTCTCTATATTTAAGTGTCATCCATTCCTTCATAAAAAATGGAAAATGCACATTGCTAAGGCTCTTCAGGGATTTTCCACCCTCTACTGGTCCCGCCTTCATTTATCACCTCCCCACCTCCCAGGGAATTAATGTACACTTGTGTTCCACAGTATCAGGTTCTTAAGTATGTATATGTTCAGATTTCCCAAGGCAGAACTGGAACTCCTCAGATCTCTGTGGTAACTCTTATAAATATATGCTAAGAGCTGCTTAGGGGGTTCTAGCACCAGAGTGTGGCTGCTCACATCCCTGGACAGAAGAATGGTTGTCCTCCTCCTTGGCCACTCACCCTCCTTAGAGTATGGATGCCTACAAAGTGGGGCAGCAGAAGGGGATGCTTGCCTACTTAGCCAGATGAGCCAAATAACTTCCCCAAAGCAGGAAGGTAGCAACTCAGGGCCACAGGGCTCTTACCTTCCCTTATAGCTGTAGTTCTCATCTTTTTGAAAAGTACACATTTTTTCTAAATGCCCAGGTCCTACCACTAGACTCTAACTCAGTTAATCTAAGGTGAGGTGCTACCATCAAAATGTATATATACGTACATATTTTCTTTTAAGTTTATCCAGGTGATTCTAATATGCAGCCAGGGTTGAAAACCACTGTATTATAATAACTGAAATAAGACAGAAGCTATACTATATATCCTGATAGAAAGCAGCAGTATGGATAGATAACTGAAAGACCTTCACAGGAACTTGGTGAAGCTAACCTGAGCAATGGTACTAATTACATCACTGTGAAGAAAAGGTGTCCATGTTCAAGAAGTAGATTATTATGAGTCAAATGGCTAACCAAGTATTGAGCAAAGAAAAGATGGCAGGTTATATACCATAATTTGCATTATCACTTTGTGACCCCCAATTTGGGCACAGAGCTCTTAAAACCCTTAGAATCTCTAAGTGATGAAAGCCATTTAAAAGAGCTTTCGCTACGTTAATGAGGTGACTTTTGGTTCACACCTAAGAATGGGTCTGATTGCCAGAGGAATTAACCTTGTGATTAGAGGGTTGGGACTTTCAGTCCCACCCCATGACCTCCAGAGATGGGAGAGGGGCTGGAGGTTGGATCAATAGCTAATGGTCAGTGATCAATCATGCCTATATAATGAAGGCAACATAAACACCCATAGGGTGGGTTTCGGAGAGCTTTGGGGTTGGTGAACACATGGAAATTTAGGAAGAACAGTGCGCTGGGAAAGAGCGCACACCATTCCCCACACCTTCCCCATGCTTCTTTTTTCCATCTGGATGTTTATCTTTCATCTGTATCCTTTATCATATCCTTTATATAAGCAGGTAATCCAGTAAGTAAAATGTTTTTCTGAGTTCCATGAGCTGTTCTAGCACATCTATCAAACCAGAGGAGGAAGTCATAGGAATCTCTGGCTTTTAGCCAGTTCATCAGAAGTACAAGTACCTGAATTTTCAAATGGCATCTGAAGTCTGAGGAGGAGGAGGTCGTTGGAACCTCCAATCTGTAACCAGTTGGTCAGAAGCACAGATAGTGATCTGGGCTTGTGTGGGCATCTGAAGCAAGGGGCAGGGGGCAAGGGACACTCAACCTGTGAAATATGCTCTCCAGGTAGACAGTGTATCATAAGTGAGGTGAGTTGTAAGACACACAGCTATGGTCCCAGAACTGCTTGTTGTTGGTGTAAGGGAACCTCCTCTCAACCCCAGGTTGGAATTTGTATCAAAACAATCCTTTTACAGTCCAAGTCACAAACAAGACCCAGCATCAGCATTTTCAGAGAGATCAGCCTAAATCTTGAAAGCCAGAGAGTTCTGCTCCTCCCAACAGCAAATACCCAAGAGCAATTTCCTTCTTGGTTTAACCACCCTATAAAAGTAATTTTCAGATTCATAATCTGTTAGAGCTAGAAGAGCTCAGATCATCTAATCAATATTCAAACTGAGGCAAGTTTTTTAAATGTTAAGTATGCATTTGTGGGGTAAACTGCAGAATTTCCACAATCTCCCACCTAGCCTTAACATTTACATTTCAGTAGGTGTTTACTGCTGCAGCCTCCTGCAGCCTCTGGGGCAAGGGGTGGGGAGATAACGGCCATTCTCTCCTCCCCTCTGTTCCTGGTACATAATTGGTCTGGGTTCTGCCACTCACCAAGTACCTGCCAATGGATTTCCTCCCAGAAGGGGCTGACGGGAAGGGGAGAGTGCAGTGATGGCAAAGCGTGAGCTAGAGGAGACGCACAGAGCCGAGCCTGGCCAGCGAATTCAAGCAAGCTGTGTGCAATAAAAAAGTTTCCTCCAACCTACCCTTTCCCTTGACTTATTTGGGTTTCACCAGTTTCATAGGGCACTTGCCTGAGGTCAGGAACACCCTTCCCCCTGTAGCTACAGCCTCTAATCATAAAAAAACAGATTTAACATTGTTTTAAATTCTCTTGAAATTTTAAATTTCATTCCCATGACTAGATGGTGAAACTGAAAAGATGTGCCTAGTAAAAGGAAATACTACAGTTGCTTCATTATAATCTACTTTGCTAACAAATACCAATAAATGCAACCAGAAAATTAACTTGTTAATGAATATTAGTAATAAATGATATTTCTTCCAAATTTAGAGGCCTTAAGGGAGGACGAACAGCATAAAGGAAGGGCAAATCATGAAAAAATTCTGCCTCCCCTCCTCCCAGAGGCCAGTGAAGCAGAGCTTACCTGAAAGTCATCCTTGACTGCTTGGAGGTCATACACGAAGAACCTCTGACAGTGTGGCAGGAGGAGGGCCAGCAGAAGGGACAGAGCACTGGGGACCAGTAAAAGACTCTTGGACAGAGGCGCCTTGTCTGGAGGGAAAGCGAAAACCACTTTCAGAAAGATGGTTCTACATCGTTTAAAAAACCACATGGGTAAAAAGAAGAGAATTCACTTCATTTGAATTAAGGTGAAGACAAAGTTCACAAACTCTGAAATTTACTTCTTATTTACATATATTTTCAAGACATCTACCTGCAGAGGTAAGTGATCAAAGGACATTGGAAAACAAGTAGAATTCACTGGCAGCAGCTTTCATGTCACTGGGCTCTTAACATGAGACCAAGCCAAGTTTACAGCCAGTAACTTCCACAGAATACCTTTCAGGAAGGTCACCAAAGTGTAAAGAAATAGATGAGGAGTATGTTTTCTATCAAACTGACCACTTACCTTCTGAGCATGCACAGGATTCACACACATAAACTTTTATTTTTTTAAAGTTTAAAAGCAATTAAAAGTGCTAACATTGCTGACAACAATGGCCTACTGAGATTTTCCACCATGTGTACCAAAGTCAGTTTTTCATTTGAGAACCTGGTTTAAACTTTCACAGCCTTTAAATTACAGCTCAATTTCCACTTTCTCCATCAGGCTCAGTGAACCATTCTAACCTATGGGGCTTTTCCCCCACTCTGCACCCTTCTTTACAGGTACTACCTGAATAGTCAGGGTTTTGTACCTGTTTTGCCTTGCCACCTACATTAAAGATCCCTGAAGGGAAAAATTTGTATCAGAATTCTCTATATTGGCCATAAAGCCTAGCATAGCCCCGTGTGCATATGAAATCAAAGGCAACACCACTGGCAGGTATCAGTGACAGCGACATTCTCAGTTATGTGATTAAAGAATACTTTAATTGTATTCATTAGAAATTCCCTGGTAATAAATTTACTAGTTATAATTGGTAATGTAATCATTGCACTTGTTTAAGAATATAAAATAGCCCAATTATTTCCTCTTTGGTGAAATCTTGCAAAGGTCTAAATGGAAACCATCAGGACAGTGGGTGCATCCTGTCTTCATGACCAGGATGCAGTCAAGGCTCCAGGGCATTGTAAAGCTAATGACTCCCCGTGCCTAGTACCTCAAAAGTACAGGAGAGCACCAGGCTATGAGCTTGACCAAACTGAATTCTACCCTGAGCAGTTTAAATCTCAAGTTTTCTTCACCTATAAAGTGAAGATAAGAGAAGCTACCTCAAAAGTGTTATGAGAAGTAAACAAAATAACGAATATAGAGAAAACTGCTCCTACTAGGGCAGTCACACCACCCCAGGAGAAAGGGCCCCCTTGCTTCAAGGCGAGCTCCTTTGTTATTCCAAGGTGAAAGGAATCCCTGAAAACACGTATGTGATAACTTAAATCAGATTCCTCCTCCTAAGATGAGAAAAAAAACAAAACAAAACCAGTATGCAGATAGCAACAGGATAACACACAAATAACCAAGAAGTCTCACATCACAGAATACATACATAGTATTACTATGGACAACAAGAAACCTCCAGGCTTGATGGCTTCACTGGGGAATTCTACCAGGCAATTAAGGGATAAATAATACCAATTTTATACAATCTCTTCCACAACGGAGAAAAGGACAGAACACGTCCCAATTCATTTTATGAAGCCAATTATTACACTAATACCAAAACCACATAAAGATAGTAAAAGAAAACAGATCAATATCTCTTAGGATCATAGATAGAAATTCTCAAGATTATGTTAGCAAATGAATCCAAATATACATAACCAACTATACATGACTGAGTAAAGTTTACACTGGGAATGGAAAGCAAATCAGTCAATGTAATTCACCCTATCAATAAAGAAAAATGTACCATGTAACTGTATTCACATCCTGCACAATTATCTCTTATTCTATGAAACCAATTTTTGTCAATTCATGAGGCAAATCTGGCGCCTTACTTTTGTATAGTTAATACTAGGCTATCCATCCTTTTGATCTACTCTTACTACTAAAACTAACATTTACCGAGCACTTACCAAGTTCAAAGTACCACACACAGCATTTAAGTGTACTTCCTTGCTTCTGATACAGTTCAGGACCTTTACACCTACTATTCCCTCTACCCAAAATGTTCTTCTCACATCTAGCTTATCCTCATCACCCATTCCTCATTTCAAACAGCATCTCCTCAGAGTGGCTTTCCCTCATGACTTTATTGCTCTGGAGCACATCATCCTGTTCTATTTCATGGCATTTTTTTCTATTTGAAATTCCTCTGTTTACTTCTGTGTCTATCTCCCTCATCAGAATGTAAACTCTATGAAGGTAGGGTCCTTGCTCACTGCTGTATTCCCATACCCAGAACAGCACCTGGCATAGTTTCAGTAAGTATTTGGAAATGAATGAATTACTTAAGGTAGATACTACTCTCTCCAAATTTGTACATACGAGAAAATTGTTACTCAAAAAGTGAGTGACCTGTGTATGATCACAATGGAGCCTGCATTCCACTGAAAGAAAAGGGTGACACAAAGGCTCGAAGGCAGGTAGTTTATTTTGGAATGTGATTCCAGGGAGGAGGAGTGAAGGACACAGGGAATGAAACAGGCAGGGTCAGTACAAGGATTCATTATCATGTTGGGCACCACTCTGAATGGACAGATGTTTCTGACAACTGCTTGATCCTGTAGGATTTTGTAAGAAGCCTTGTGAATGTTTCTCAGAACTATCACCCAGGAAAGAAACAGGAAAGTATTTTCATCCATTATCCCTCAATCATCTAAAGTGGCCATAGAAAAGAAGTCCCATGGGAGGATCAGAGAAATAAGCTTTACCAAACTTGACGGGCTTACACCAAATGAAACTGTAGAAATAGACGGAATAAGAGGTGAGACAGAGCACGCTGAAACGCCGCACAAGAAGGTGTCTGTGGTAATGGCTAGGGAGTGGCAGAACCAGGTTCAAACCCTGACAATCTGACTACAGATAAAACTGCTTCCTATGCTGCACTGCCGTAGAACTCCACAGTCCAAAGGGGTTTTCACCAGCATAGCAGGTTTTAAGTGAAAGACATAATACAGTCACAAACATCAAAAATCAAAATCAAAATGGTGCCCTGTTTAACAAAAAAGGTAAATGAAATTGTGAATGGAGATATAAAAACACTGAAGTCTGGGAAGGGTGCAACACTTATTAAATACCAAACTGATCAAAAAGTTCTTAAATTATACATAAACTCTCTGATCAATAAAACCTCTATCTAGAAATTTAGCCCAAAGTAATTATCATGGGTATGTACAAAGATTTTGCTATAAAGATGCTCATTGCAGCACTGGTTGTAACAGCGAACAGACTAGAAATGAGAGAATAGAGCTCTTGGCTCACGCCAGGAGGGGACAAGAGAGCCCCAGATTTTTATTTTTGTATAAAAATCTACTTTAAGATATTAGAAGAAATAATTTTTGTTTGACTAGTTAATAACTGAGTAAAAAGTTTCCTTAAATCCTTATACACGGAGATAAGGTAAGTTCACGAGCAACCTTCTGGCCTGGGAGGAGCCAGGAAGTGGTTCACACGTGAAGACCCCAAGCAGTGATCAAATGAAGGTTGAAAAAAAGGCACTTCTCTGCCACATCCTTCCACCTTTGAAAACAGGGATGTTAGACATTTTAAGAATAATAGACAATGCATTAATGTAAAGTAAAAATGCAAAACATCTAGGACAAAGATAATATAAAACAGTTTAAGATGTTTCCTTTTGGGCCCTTCACCTCATTGGTACTAAGTACACAGCCACTTCTTGTGACAATGAACAGTAGTCAGGGTTTGGTGACTATGAGTATTATCCTAAAATAATTATGACAGTCTATGTGGGTTACTTTATGCCAAGCAGTGTGCTAAAAAAAGCACTTTCTGTGTGATGCCATCTCAGTGAATGCTTACAGTAACCCTGAGGCTGCAGTTAGTTATCTACATACTAACAGGTGAAAAAGTTAAGCAACTTGCCCGAAGTCATAGCTAGTTAGTAGTAGGGGGCTGGGATTTGAACTACAGTTCTTTCTGACAAAAAGGAAAAAGTCTTCTCAGATGTAACAAGGAAATATGATATTTTTATATTATGGCCCATGGTTCAAAGGGATTTTCATTATTACTATTTTTAGTATATTTAATATTTTTATCAAAAAGCTAAACACAGAATTACCATATGACCCAACAAATCCCCTCCTGGTTATACACCCAGCAGAACTAAAAACAGATTTTCAAACAAAAACCTGAGTATGCATAGCAGCATTATCATAATAGCCAAAAAGTGGAAATAGTCCAAATGTCCACCAACAGAATGGATAAACAAAATGTTGTACAGCCTTAAAGAGAATATTATTCAGCCATAAAAGGAGTGAAGTACTGATACATGGTACAATAAGGATGAAAACATCATGCTAAGTCAAAGAAACCAGACACAAAAAGGCACCTGTTGCATGATTCCACTTACATGAAATGCCTAGAATTTAAAAATCCATGGGGACGCAAGGCAGTTTAATGGTTGTTAGGTGCAGGGAAGAGCAGGGAATGGAGAGTGACTGCTTAACGGGTAATGGGTTTCTTTTTGGGGTGATAAATCTGCTTTGGAATTAAATAGTGGTTGGTGATGACTGCACAATGTGAATGCACTGGAAATCAACAATTGTATGCCTTAAAATGATGAATTTTGTTATGTGAATTTTACCTGAATAAAAAGATGCATCTTTTATGTACTGAAGACAGTAACCACAGGTCTTGCCATGTGGGCGTTACAGAAGCCTCACAGCTGCAGACAGATGGAGGGGGTAAGGATGGGGTTGGGGGGTCAGTAAGGAGCAACCCTGCAAGACCGCCTACCCCACCGTCAGCCTGTGAGAATTCACTCGTCAGAAACCCCGGTGTGGTCCACACCTCTGAGCAGAGAGGCCGCCATAACCTACCATATTGGTTTCCTACTTCTGACAACTCAAATCTCTGGTAAACTAAGGGTTCCCACAAGAATGCGGTGATCTTAAAAAGTCAAGTCCCAAAAAGTAACTTCCTTAAA